CTACACTAGGCGAAGGGTCGTTGTCACCCTAAACAGCGACATTGAAGCTGCCCGAAGGTGCTTCGAGGCTGCACTGAAAGGCCTAAGCACGATCGCCCCGGCGACCAAAAAAGTAGCGCCCACCACTACTCCGAAGAGGGAACCCAAGGACCTCGTCGGCTCGGTAGACCTCGACATCTGCTTCACCGAAGAGTCCGACCGCGAGGACGAAGCCAGCGACACTCTTCCATCCAACAGGCAACCCATCCACCCAGCACGCCCCATCCTAGATGGTGATTTTGAGACCGTGACCCTCGGGGACGACGAGACTAGGACCGTGAAAATCGGTGCAGGACTGCCCGACCTGGCGAAGAAACAACTGAAGGTATGCCTCCGCAAGAACGCGGATCTCTTCGCCTGGAGCGCCACGGAGATGCCCGGACTCGACCCTGCACGGAGTATCAGGCGAAAAACGATAATCTGGATGAGTACCTGGCCCTCATTACAGAAAAATGCAAAGGTTTGACTCCGCAGAAGTCCAACACGTTCCACGCGAGCAGAACACTCGAGCATATATTCTCTAAAAACTAGCAAACACCAAAAAGAGGGGCAGACACAAGTCTGTCATCCAAGAGATCATATCGCAGCCGAGCATGGAAAAGGCTAAAGCACTGCTCGACGTCAGCGCCATAGGGGACATCAACTGTTGGATGACGCCTTTGCACGCCTACCTCAGCGCAGGTCGCCTCCCCGCCGACCCCAAAGAGGCCAGCACGACCAAACGAAGATCCTGCTCGTACATACTTCTCGAGGACAAATTGTATCGCATAGGCTTCGCGGCCCCCCTCCTCAAATGCATCGAGGCCGCGGCCGTTCTGGAAGAGATCCACGAGGGCATCAACGCGCAACACCTCGGGGGGCGGTCCCTGGCGAGAAAGGCTCTACGAGCGGGATACTACTGGCCGTCGATGCAGGAGGACGCAAGGGCGCACGTCAAGAAATGCAACAGATGTCAACGACATGGGGACATGCACTTCGCCCCACCAAGCGAGCTCAAATCCCTCTCCTCCCCTTGGTCGTTCGCCTGGTGGGGGATGGATATCCTCGATCCCTTCACCTTAGACTCATATAAGAACAAATACCTGATCATGGGCATCGACTACTTCACCAAATAGATCGAGGCCGAAGCCCTCGCAAAAATCACGACCCATAACATACTCTAATTCTACAAAAGGAACATCCTCGCAAGATTCAGTGTCCCACTCGCCATCGTCACCGACAACGGTACGCAGTTCACCCACAAAAATTTTCGGGACTTCGTCACCAAACTCGGGACCAAACATCACTTCACCTCGGTCGAACATCCTCAGAAAAACGACCAAGCTGAGTCCACGAACAGATTGATCCTCAAAGGACTAAAACGAAGACTTAGCAACGTCAATAGAGCATGGGTCGAGGAACTCCATAGCATACTATAGGAATACCGTACCACGCCCCACTCGACCACGGGGGAAACACCATTCCGCCTCACATACGGAACCGCGACGGTGATCCCAGTCGAGATCTGAGAACCGTCCAGACGGACTGAGGCACCCCTTGAAGCCAAAGCCAACGATGAAGCCCTGCGAGAAGAGCTCGACCTAGTCGAGGAAACTCGGTCGGGGGCGGCTCTTTGCGAAGCCAGGCTGAAACAACAAGTAGCACTTCGCTACGACAGCAGGATCCTAAAACGCAAGTTTCAGATCAGCGACCTAATCCTACGAAGAAACCAGAAGGACTCTCACGAGGGAAAACTAGCCATGAATTAGGAAGGCCCATATCGTGTTCGCGACAAGACGGAGTACGGGGCCTACTACCTCGAAAACCTACACGGGGATCAACTAGCTCGACCATGGAACGCTGAGAAGCTGAAAAGATACTACAGTTAAGGCGTTGCTCGCGATGCCCATGTGCCGCGACCACAGGGGGGCGATATGGTACCATCACACCTCCTCGCGTCTCCTAGAGACCAACAAAATAGTAAGCCCTACCTTTGTGTGCGCAGGCAGAAGGCTCTGCTCGACGGAGAATACCTCAACCGAGGCTCCCCGTCGCTGTACCCGTATCGGCAGGACACCCAGCTCGCGATAGGGCTCCCATGCTGCGGGGATAAACTACCCCCGGATAGACCGGGAAATCAAACCGATTGACCGACCAGTCCTCCTCACTACCGGAAACAAATGTCGTCGAGCCACCAACCCCGAACAGCCCCAAAGGCATGACAAACATGCATTTCAAACATACAAACATACAATTCAAACATACAAAGTGCAGAAGTAAAACGAGCATAACACCATGCAAAAACAAAACAAAGCGCACACTTAAACAAATTTCAGAAATTCTGCAATATAAAAACGGGCACCAGCCCAGTAGTCAGGGTTACAACACTAAAAAGGGCACGCAGGTCCGACAAAGAAAACACTTGGAAAAAACACAAAATATTCGGCCCGCAAGCCCAGAATCCACGGGCACGCAGGCCCGGAACTAATCTACGCGTCTCCCTCCTCCTCCACTTTAGGCTCGTCATGGGGAGCGTCGTGGCCAGCATCCTCAAGACTGGGGTCGACCACTCGTCCGTCAACAATCTCGTGGAAAGGCCCAATGTCATCCTCGACCAGGACGACGCCAGGGTTAACCATCTTGAGCTATGCGACAACACCGTTAAAACCGACCGCAAAGGCCTCCAAGCAGTCGCTCTCCAACACCCGGATCCTAGCGAGCAAGTTTGCTCGAGTGACCATCTGCTTGTCCTCTTCGGTATCGTCCTCGGCAGGACGGAAGGTACTCTCCAGCTTTCCCACGCGAGCCTTTAGTGCTTGCACCTCCTCTTCAGTGGCCTTCAACTTCTCCTCAGCACTGTCCCCCCTCTTGCGCTGGTCGACAAACTCCCCCTTGCTCTTCTCCAGCTCCTCGGTAAGTTTATTCAAGCGTGACTGCGCGAAGGTGAGGTCCCCTTGCAACTTGGATAGCTCGGCAGCCGAGCAGCTCTTATCACTCAAGACCATAGCAGTGGTGAAAGTCCGTATCAAAGTGGCCAAGTCCTCCATCAAAACCTGTCTACGAGCATCCCGGTCCGTACCAAGTACCGTCTTCACTTCCCCAGCCGGGATGTTAGGAGACCTTGCCCCATGGAAGTAATCGGGATGCTGATGGTAGGGTGGGATTGAGAAACCCTCCTCAGCAGAGCCAACCGTCAAATCGACCACGCTCTCCATCTGCTGAACCCTAGGCCTCTTCGGGGCCCCCTGAGACGTGGGGGACTCACTGCCCTGAGGAGACGAGGAAGAACCCTTTCTGCCCTGGTCTCCAGCAACTACCTGACTTAAACGTGTCTTCGCAGCTGCAACGGGCCTCGACGCATGCAACTTCTTCACCCTCTCCTTAACAAAAGACATGCTCCCTACAAAACAAAAGAAATGAGTCAGTAACAGGCGAAAAAAATGAGAAGTAAAGGAAAGAACGGGCTGGCCACCACCTAAATAGCTAAGGGCCTCCTCCTCTGAGGAACACTCGAGCAGGGCCTTCGTATTGATCAGCCTCGCCTTCTGGCGGATATTCCCCTGACTGTCGAGGATGTACCGACCATCCAGTGTCACTAGATTCGACAGGGGCAGGCTGCGCACAAACGCAACTATCTTCAAATAGCTGTCGAGGATGTACCAATCAGTCCCCTTGGTGAAATGCTCGTCGGTCCACTCCACGAGAACTTTCGGCAACATGACGGCTTCCCTCCGGCCATTCACTACCCGCTCCCTTTCCTGGTACAACGAGTCAACCCCTGTGAGGGTGATCGGACTGACGACGAAGAAGCGCCCCTTGAAATCTCGAACAGAGTCCATGTGCGTCTTAAAAAGCTTGTTCGGTTGTTTGAACGAAACCCACCCATGTCGACCGTTCACCGTCTGCCGCTGCAGATGGAAGAGGCAGAAGAACAGCGACAACGTGGCCCCGACCTCCAGGAAATGGCAGACGATCTCGAACGCCCACACGAAGGCTACGGCATTCGGATGCAACTGCGAATGGGCCAACTGCAGCCAGTCGAAGAGTCCGAGGTGAAAGTCTGAAAACGGTAATTTGAGTCTGGCCTCCCGAAAGTAGAACTCATACATAGGGAACCGCATCCTCCTATACTTCGAGCATATGCGGTGGTGTTCTCGAGGCTGGTAGACCTGCCAGTTCTGGGGATCATCTACGCCCCTATCCTCCACGGTGGTGTAAGCTCCTACCGGGTCGCAAGCAAAATACGAGGGTGTTGATGAAAGGGATTTGAAGCTTGAAAGACAAAAGAATAAATTTAACAAATTGAAGAATGAGGTTATCTACACTAGAGGATGGCTAAAAATTTCCATTGTGGTTAGGATGTTGGGCTTAGGGTCTGAACTTTGTGTTTGTAACAATGTATTTCAATTAGAATTAGGGTAGTTCAATGTTATGTTTTCACATTTTCAATATATTGTTAAGTTTGTTTATTGAATAATGTATTGTTAAGTTGGTTTAATGAATAATGCATGTGTCTATTTCAACATAACTATCTGTGATGTATAACTGGTACAAATTTGTGATACATAACTTGTACAAATTTGTCTCAAAATTTAACCTGTTAAAAATGCAGCTCAAGGACCAATAATTGGGATGAATCAAAATAGTAAATAGGCTAATTTTCAACAAATTATAAAATTAAGGGGCTTTATGGAAACCATACAATAATATAACTTGGCATTATAAGCCATTTCAACTTTCATTAACAGCTCTGAAGTTTGATACATAATTAACTGATTCAATAATAAAAGGCCATTATAAGGCATTAATATGATATTCCAAAATGTGGTACAAATACAAAACAGGTGCGCCATTATAAATTAGCCAAAATGTGCCTTACATAATGACATTCCAAAATGTGCCTTACAAAAACAAAACAGACATGCCATTAAAAGGCATAACAAAATGACATTACAAAATCTGAGCAGACATCATATTAATGATTAAGGTTGACTTGAAACAGGCTTGCCACCCTTATGAAGGTTTTTTGTAGTTTTGGGTGGTGGTTGACTTGTAACAATAGGTGGTGGTGTATGACTTGTAACAACTGGTAGTGGTAGCTGACTTGTAACAACTAGTGGTGGTGGCTGAGTTGTTGCTTCTTGTACCTGACTTGAAACATTTGTTGGTGGTGGCTGTGTTGTTGCTTGTTGTACCTGACTTGGAGGAGCTTGTGGTTGTGGTTGTTTACAAGTAGCCTTGTTATGACCATCCTTGTGGCAACGACTACACTTGATACCATGTCTTGCCCTCTTTATATGTGTCTCATCCCTCATCATTTCTCCAGCTTCCCTATTTCTCTTTTTCTTTGTCATTCGAGGCTGCCTCTTTATTGGTGGTGGCTGAAGATCAACAACACTAGTCTTTTCCCACAAGGCTTTCCTATTAAATGGATAAATAATAGGTGCATAACAATATGAATATTGTTCCTTCTTGTAACAGTCAGGTACAAAGTCATCAATCTCTAAATGTTGATCCTTTATGCAAGACATTGCATGACAACATACAAGTCCAGTCAGCATCCATATTTTACATGAGCATTCTTTCTTGTAAAGGTTGATAACATATTTTTCTCCATTGAGTGAAATATTCCTTACCTCATAGTCATATTCACTTGTACGCTTGTAAACAAGTAGCCATTTTAATGTTAGTAAATGTAAAAAAGTATCCATTTGAAAGTAATATTCAACAAATCAACCATGTTACCTCACAATCCAATGATTGGTTTTCTGTGACTCCCTTTCCATCCTCTTCTTGATGTTAGGTAGTATGATGCCCTCGTATTTGGCAATCTTTTTCCTATTGGATTCCCATATCTGCATTAGATACACTCTAATTTCTTCAAGTATTTTCACAATGGGCTTGGATCTAGCAGCTACAAACATATAATCGAAGGCCTCAAACATATTGTTAACCAAAGTGTCACAACACGAACTTGGCTGGAACCTTGATTTAATCCAGAATCTTGTGTTAGAACACAGATTGGTTCTTAATAATAACTCTTTGTTTTGATGATAACTGTTAGGAAATTTTATATTTAAGAATTATATACTCTAAAATTTGTTTGAGAGTTTTACTGCAGATTGAAATGAAATTAACTCTCTAGAAGCAAATCTGAATTGTATACAAGAAGTTATCCTGACTCTGAAGCGCCAGATGCACTCATCAGAAGCATCTGAAGCAGAAGCATCTGAAGCTAGTCAAAAGATTCTGAAGCAGAAGCATCTGAAGCTAGTCAGAAGCATCTGAAGCAGAAGCATTTGAAGCTGAAGCATCTGAAGCAAAGAAGAATATTGTTTGAAGAGTTTCTCAAAGCATAATTCTACAAAAGTTTCTGAAAGTACTAACGCTGCCAAGTACTGAAGTTCTGTGTCAAATATGCTCTAATGATCAACACGCTGAAAGCACACATGCTGCAGAAGACTCTGATACAGCAAGGTTCTGAACATCATTAGAAGACTCTGACTCAATCAGATTCTGAAGAACCTGCTGAAAACTGAAGAAGAAATATTCAAAGATTATATCCGTTGGAGTAAATCAACGTCTCTTTCCTCATTTGTGCTAGACACAATAACACAGACAAAAAGGATTTTTCTGTGCTATCTACTTCTAGGAAAGGTCACTTGATGTGAAGATAAAAAGGCTCAGACCTTTTTGGGACTCTCTTTTCAACGCTCAGCTTCCTTGGATCAGCTGCCTATAAAAGGAAGACTCCACCAAATTCTTCAGTTACACAATTTGCTGAAAAGAAATCATATTATTCTAAGCTCTCATTCTTTCATATTCTTCTTAGAATTTCTTATACTTAAACTTAAGAGAAAAATCACTGTTGTGATAAAAGCTTTATAGAAGCATTAATACTCTTGTATTTGATTTACATTGATTGTAAAGGTTTTTCCTTAAGAGGATTCAGTTGGAATCAGTAGCTCTTGAGAAGACTAAGAACAGTTGTTCTTAGGTGTTACTATTGTAATCAGTTTGATTAAATAGTGGATTAAGTCCTTGTTGAGAAAGGCAAATCACTCTAGGAAGGGTGGACTGGAGTAGTTGTTTTAAATGAACCAGGATAAAAATAATTGTGTCATTATTTTTAAAGTCTTAATCTTTCATACTTATTTAACCCCCCTTCTAAGTATTATCTCACCTTCAGTTGGCATCAGAGCTCCGATTCTGTGTGTGCTACCACTTAACAGTGTCAGTAAAGATCCAGAGAGAAATACTTTGATATATATTGATTTGTTACAATGGCTGATAATTCAATATCCAATATTAACAATAAATATGAAGAAAGGGATAGGATCAGCACCAAACCCCCAATGTTTGATGGGGAGAAATTTGACTACTGGAAAGACAGAATTGAGAGTTTTTTCCTAGGATATGATGCTGATCTATGGGATCTAGTCATAGATGGATATGTCCATCCCACTGATGGGAATGGCAAAAAGATTGACAGAAAATCTATGACAGATGCTCAGAAGAAAGATTTTAGAAATCATCACAAAGCCAGGACTATATTATTGAATGCAATTTCACATACTGAGTATGAAAAAATTACAAACAGGGAAACTGCTTTTGATATGTTTGAATCCCTAAAAATGACTCATGAGGGAAATTCTCAAGTTAAGGAGACAAAAGCTCTGGCTCTGATCCAGAAGTATGGGGCCTTCAAAATGGAAGACTCTGAATCTGTTGAAGCCATGTTCTCCAGATTTCAGATACTCACTGCTGGGCTGAAAGTTCTGGACAAGGGATACTCTACATCAGATCATGTAAAGAAAATCATCAGAAGTCTGCCTACCAGATGGAGACCAATGGTGACTGCCTTGAAGATGGCTAAAGATCTGAACAAGATCTCTCTAGAAGAACTCATCAGCTCACTGAGGAGCCATGAGATTGAGCTTGAGGAAGATGAACCTCAGAAGAAAGAAAAAGGTAAATCTGTTGCATTAAAATCTAACAAAACTGCTAAAGCTTTGCAGGTCATTCAAGAAAGCTCTGAAGAATCTTCTTCTGAAGAAGAAGATGAGTTATCCATGCTGTCCAGAAGGATCAACAGACTCTGGAAGCACAAGGGAAAGAAGTTCAACAACTTCAGAAGATCTGATAATAGAAAGGAATCTTCTGGACACAGAAGATCTGGCAAGAAAGAAGTTGTATGCTATGAGTGCAAAGAACCTGGGCACTACAAGAATGATTGCCCCAAACTTCAGAAAGAAAAACCCAAGAAGAAGTTTAACAAAAAGAAGAAGGTTTTGATGGCAACATGGGATGACTCAGATGAATCTGAATCATCTTCTGAATCAGAAGAAGAATGTGCCAATGTTGCACTGATGGCCAGCACAGAGGATCAAGAGGAAGGTACCTCAGGATATGAATCAGATTCTGAATCTGATGATGACGCAGAAGAGGTAATGGCTAAACTTACCAAAGAAGAACTTATAAAAGTTTTAACAGAAGTTCTTAAAAGTTATAACAATATCAAACTCAAATACAAGAAGCTGAAAAGCAATCTTGAATCTGAGATTGATCTTCTGAATACAGAACTTGTTGAGCAAAAAGAAATTAATCTGAAAATAAAAAATGACTTTGAAATAACTCAACAAGAATCTGAATCTGAGACTAAGTCATATGAAAACATTTTAGAAAAATATGACTCTAGCTTTCAGAGATTTCTTACTAAGAGCATAGACAGAAGCAAGATGGCTTCCATGATCTATGGTGTTAGTGGAAACAACAGAAGAGGTATTGGATATGAATCTTCATCTGGAAGCAATCCAAAACCTGTTGACAAACTTTTCATCAAGAAGACACCTCTGTATTCTCAATTTAAATTTGGTCACTTAAATGACATTAAACATACAAGCTCTGAGAAGAATACTTATGTGTTTATGTTGCACCCCAAAATTTGACCAACATTTATTTACCAAGCTTGGGTTCACTAGCATGATCATCTGCTTCTCATTGATATGTGGGCAGTAGATCAAGAGGTGTGATTACCCAGAAAGAGTTATATGAGACTTTGAAGCTAGCCAAGAAGGTTGTTCAAGTGTTCAAAGGTTGATACCTTTGTCAGAGAACTCAAGAGATCCTCAGAGAGATTGGTTGAAACCAAGGTTGTGTGTCTCATAACTTGAGAGTTGTGGGAGCCCCTCAGATGATTCTGAGACTATGAGGATGAACTTGAAGCTTTGAGAGGGCTTATGAGATGTCTTGAAAGCCATCATGAAGCCTAGAGAGGTCATTGTACAAGAATTCAGAAGACTCAGCCATGAGTGGTGGAATTAGGGTTTGACTGGGTCAACTGATGATTTGGAGAGGGTTGAGACCTAATCCAGGAGCCATGTGATCATGGATTGATGCATTGAGATGCTATAAGGATGATTCCTAGACCAACTCATCATGATTGAGGATTTTGATAAGTTTTAAGCTAGGGTTTCTAAGGCTTGACAGTGTAAAATCCCCTAGTTTGATCCCTATCTTCAAGGCAGTTTAGCTCAAGATGTGATTGTCATCTCATCTTCCCCACAACATGAATGTTGTAGAGCGTGTTATTAGCTTTAATTTGAGTACTAGAAGTCCTTGATAGGATTTGTAGAGCTCAAGTTATGACTTTGACAAATTACAGGTCATCCGAGGTATGTGAATCTGGGTCCTTGAAAGTCACCCAACTTGCATCCAACTTTTTCCCTAGAAGGATGATTCATATGAACTCTTGGTCAACATGAATGTTGTAGAGCATCTTCTTATATTTCTAGATAGTACTAGAAGTCCTTGATAGGATTTGTAGAACTCAACTTATGGCTTTGACAAGTCAAGGGCATTTTGGTCATTTGGAGGTTATAGGTCATTTCAAGCATAAGGCCATATCTCCTATTTCCAAGCTTCAAATAGAAAAATCTTCAACATCAAACTTGCTTAGAATGATGTTTTAAGGCTAGTAGGGAGGTCATGAGATGTTGAAAAGGCTTGTATCAAAAAGTGATAAAAATGGCCTAAAATGGAGGCATAAGTTAAATAAGTTGAAATTGAAAATTGGAAATCCCAAGTTACACATCCAAACCATGTCATATAATAGGTCATTTTGACTCTAAAGGACATTCTAAAAACAATGGTTCAGCCACAATTTTGATTTGAGGCCTAGATCATAGGGCTGCTTTGGAAATGGCTTACTTGCATCTTAAGGCACCAAAGCAAAACTCAAGAAAACTCAATAAACAAGTTAGTTATGCATTTCAACATATCATACATCTCATGTGGGGAGAATTTCAAGTCAGAATTGGTGGTTACAAGAGGCTTGGCATGAGATAGCATATGGTGAGAAGTGAATTCATAATGTCATGACATGAGATTTCCAATTTCTCATTGGAAGGTCCTAGATGGTTCTAGATGATTCTAAACCACTCTATATAACATGTATAACTTGCTCATATGCAAGGTTGGTGTAAGATTTGAGAGAAGAGAGAGTTGGTTGTTTCAATTGCTTCCATTGCAAGTTGAAAGTGAATTCCCTATTCTGAACCATTTCCATTCATTCTTTCCATTCATACACATTCCATAGATCATAGTGAAGCTGTGCAGATTGATTTGAGAGCAAATCCATGGTGAATTGAAGAGTTGGTGATTGAACTTTCAAGGTAGCAAGTCAGAATCGAATTCTGAGATTGAAGCTTCCTCCATCAAATTTGTTGCAAACAGTAGCAAGATTGGCATCCAAGGAAACTTTCTGAAGAGTTTCAAGGCTTGAAGTGAAGGATTTCATCATCTGTTCATCAAGATTTACCAGGTTTGTAAAATTCACTCTACACCATGTTTTATGCATAATTAGGTTAGTTTGTTATTGTAGAAAGGTTAGAGACACATAGGTGATGGATTTTGGAGAGTTAGAGAGCAATTGGTGAAGGTTGAA